ATCACGCTGTAATTACATAACCGAGTAAGCACATCATAAATGTAAGAATTGAGTACGTTCAAGTATCAGTTATATTTAAACGTAAAGTACTAGATGTTCTATAATTGAAACAATTTTGATTCGAAACACTGCATACCTGAGAAAATTTATAAACAATATCACAGCACATACAGATACATATACAAATTAAATGATTTTACATGTGTATTGCATGAATTTGAGTGTGTGTGCATTACCTTTAAAATTGCTTGCAATTTGTTAAACACTTCAAAAGTTGTGGAAAAAAAAAAAACACGTTCGCATATATCACTTTCTATGATGCATATTTCATTTTCTTTTATTTACAAAGTATATAACAACGACGTTATCGTTGTCAAGTATGCAATATCTTCGTAACATCGTTAGCATATTTATCTGAATATTACATACCTCGAGGAGATCAAATTACAAAATTACGTAATCTCGTAAAAACAGTAATATATAAAGAACTATAATTTGTGTTACTTTGAAAGAATAAATATACACTTTTGTGAAACAAGATTAACCATTTAAAAAAAAAAACTTACCGCAAAAACTCTGTTAACGTGTGTCGTATCGTATTCGATCACCTGTGATCGAGGATAGTCACCGTGACAATTTTCTCTTGTCGTTATCATATTAACCATATTTATTCACTACTGAAACACTAACTAGATATGCCGCTATGATTTAATCGTTCGACACAGTTTCGAACACGAAATAATAGTAACTAGACAGAAATGCATCAACGACTTTTTGCACCTGTGCACAGAGCCATCTAACTTTTCACGTATCACATTAACGATACTTGTACACTATTTAGACACTAAATGAATGTATCGCTATGAAAATGTTCACTCTTTGAATAATTAAATAGAAGTACATCGACGGTTCTTTGCACTTTGACGTTCAAGCCATCTAACTTGTCCCTTCCAAGAACCATATTACCGATGCTTGATCACTGCCTAGACGTATAAATACATATCTGCGTAATATATGCTTCGATCGTATTCCACATCAGTTCAAACACAGCAAATAATAACCAGATAAAAATGCATCGATAACTTTTTTACACTCGGTGCACACAACCACCAAGTATTACATCTTAATTCATGAAATGATTCAAGTAAATGCTACTATAATATTGACATCTGTCTCCGTGAAACACTGAACTCTTAATATCGCGGAAACGTGTAATGGGTAAATTTCGATAAGGTTCACTGATTTAGAAATAAATTCTAAGTGCATGCCAAGATTCCTACAAAAAGGGCAATCCTTCGTCTACAAATATACGTAGTTTCTATCAGAACGAAGAAACAGTAGGAGAAATCGAGAAGATACGAGTCACGACTATTTTACACGATGAACCGGCATGCGGATTCGTGTGGCGCACGCCAAGAAACGCGCGCGCACACACGATTGCACGAAACTTTACGCACCCACACGTATGCACGTAGGTACTCATACCAGGTCGAGACAATGCGTCAAAGGAGGCGATAATCGTCGGCGTTGATGCAGAATCAGAGGGGTAAAAGTATTTCCAGTGACAAGGCGAAAACACCCGACGTGCACGGAGCCTGGCTGAATTAGAACGACTCGAGAATGGATCCGTCGGGATTGAGGATACGGGATCGTATTCACGCGCGACAAATTCTCGCCATCTTTCACGGACACGGCGGGAAAATCACGCAGCCAGTATCGGGAACAGTCCTAGAATAAAACTTGCCACCGATCGACGGAAGTTTCTGTTATTAAATCGAAAAGCAACAGATATACATGGCATAATAATCGGGACAAGTCGGCCGTGCCACTCGACCGTTCGATTTTTGCATGCCAACCTCAATATCCCCACTATGATTTCTCGCGACATGATCGCAACCCTCCTTATCGAGGATCGTGCTCTTCGATCGCATCGGCGACGCGAAAATCTACTCGAATATTCATCAAACAGAGGAACGAAAAAGTTTCATGCACACCCACGACATCGTGAATGCACGATAGCAGTAGGCGCGGCTTTTCACCCCGTACCGAGAGAAAACGGTTTCGTGTCACTGATTTCTCACGTACCTAGGTTATCCGAGCGTGTCCTCTTCGTCGACGATCCTCGCGCAGTCCACGTGTGAAATTCACGCTACCGATTTAACACAGAATCGCGAACTTCTCGTGTTCTCGGCACTTTTCAGCTCGTGCTTGTCGCACGCCAACCGAGTCCGCCATCTTGGGGCAACCGCCAAATCCCCCCAGGCAAGACAATTGTTTCCCATGAAAAGTCACTAGCCACCTTTGGCTCCTTTCCTTCCTCCTTCGTTCGTGTTTCCACCCTTCGCGTAGTTCCAACGTCTATTCTCTCATTCTAATCCGAGTCTGTTTCTAAAATTATATTTTCATCTGTAATGTTGATTTTAATCTCTATAATCGTTGTAGTTTTAATATACCTATTTATTTAAAATTTTATCATCGTAATTTCGTCAATCGTCCATTTATTACAATAATTTACATTTATTTGTATATAAATATTTCGTTGTTACTTAATTGAACCATTATATAGGAAATTGTAGTTATAATAATTTTTTTTGTTTTTAATGAAATTCACTAGAGCTTTTCTATTTCATATCCTATCAATAACTTACTACACTATCGCCACGTTATGAATATTTCGTAACATGTTGCACTCTCTCATGTTCGAATTATTCTTTGCAAGTATCAAATACGACTTATTCATATGAATTACTAAATAATGCTTAATTGTGATAACTGAATTTTATTTAACAGGTAAATTTTGTCGAATATATTTATTTAATTTCTAGAAAATATTAATATTCGTTGAGCCAATGCTTTTTTGTAAAGCCTAAAAATTTTGTGCAGTTCGTGTTAATAAGATGCATAATATTATGCAATTATTGAAGTAAGTATTGTTTACATGTATTATTGAAATGGAACATGATCAATTTTTATGATTACTTTATTCACATTTACTTTAAGAATCACGTGACATTCTCTGTGACATAATTTTGGTTATATAAAAATTAATTTATCAATTATTTAATAAACAATGCACCAATATGCAACTACTTTTATATAATTATTACTAACACCTTCAATCCCTTTTTTTAAAAACAAAAGTACTTAATTTATTTAGTCCCATAATTGCAAATTACAGAAGTTCAGTCGATATTTTATTTGTTATTTACATTCGTGCTCTCAGAAATTTGAAAAAGATTTATTCATTTTATATTTAAAGTATCAACATCATTTTATAACGAAATGCTATTCTGATTAAACATATTCACTTTTAACAACTTATATGAACTGTCAAAAGTAAGAATTAAATGTATGTTATTAAAAGTTTATCATATAAAAATAAGTAATGCAAACATTTTGCGAATAATTAAATTTTATTCATTGTTAAGAGCAAATGAATAAAAGGGTACAGAAATTAAAAAATAGGAATAAGTATACATTTACGAAGGTAACGACAAGCTAGAAAGTTATACGGGACATCATTTACTAGGGGTATCAAAAAGTGCTAATGATTTAGAATTCTTTACTAATTAATGTAATTGGGCGGCAAAAATTTGTATTCCTATCATAGTAAACATCAGATGGAACACCAAACCTTGTCTTTTCTTATCTATTCTGACAATAAACATAATTTACAGATTGCTAGAATGATAGGAACTAGACTGACATCTAACGAGAAAATACTGAATGACAGAATAAAACCATAAAAAAGATATGAAAAACGTTGATTCTTATTATTCTTGAATTATCAATAATTGTTATCATTATTTTGACAAATAATTATTAGTATCAAATTAAATAATTACCATTTAGAGGTAGATCTTTATTGAGAAAGAATAAGAGATTTTATAAATATATAAGTGATTATTCTAGTATATGATTTGAATAAAATTTAATGTGGTGAAGAGAATAATAATCTTGTATGAACTTTTCTGTTCGCTGTTCAATTAGAATATAACGAAAGTTAAAAAGAATAAACAAATTTCTAAATCGATACAATGTTTAGTCTTAGTTCTAAACAGTAAGAGTGTTAAATTTGAATTCCAATGTGAACCGGTAATGTTGAAAGTGACATGAAAATGGTTAAGGGGACTCGTGAATCTTCAATCCATATGACAAAAAAAAGCATTGCATACATCATCTATTCTATACCTGGTCTGTGCTATCACCTAAATAATCAACTCTGGTAATATTCAATTTTTTTCTTTTATTTGTTTATCAAAAATATAAATGTTTCGTCTTGTTTATAATTATTTAGTATCTTACATTTAAGAAAAAAATGTCACGATTTTCAAAATTTGTATTTTTATTTATAAATTCAATAATTTAAGGAGAGTGTTTTCACTGCTATTATTGACACCCTATTTACAGTCAATTAACCAAATACTGTCAAGATAAAAGACCCAATTACTGTTCTCTTAATTTTAATTTAATGTTTACATTAAATTAATGTATTAATGGTATTCGACAATACTTTTCTATTGCATTTGTCTGTAAATGATAACGTATTTTATACTGTCATACCATAAACATTGTATAACTAATATACGTATTACAAATTAGGTTAGGTGCTCACAGACTACACGTGGGTAACAGTAACAGAATACGATTTTGCTATAAATTTGTAAAGATTATTCGGTATTTTAAGTAAAACAATTTAAGGTGACAATAACTGTCTTTACCCTATATGGTTTAATTTCCCAATGATTTATTGTTATTATACTTTCATAGTGTCAATTACTCTAAGTGTCTATATTTCTGTATGCCTTGAGTATTAAACCCCGATGTATTAAATAATTATTATCTAATTTAGGCAATTCAAACATCTTCAGTTTAGAGCTTTACGACCGTACAATGTGTAAATAACTTTTGACAATACAGTAGCAGGTGTAATATACAAGTTGTATACCTCGTCTGTGCATTGGTGTAATAGGGGCAAAGTAAGGCCCTGAGCACCCTAATAAAGCATATTTACAATCCATGTATTCCATATGTGTCCATATGTATTACCGACTTCGGTGGTTTAATTAAATATATGTAGTTTCCGAAGTCACCGTCCGTAAATGGAAAGTGCACTGTAAATTTGCCAGAAGTCGATACTTCAGTTCGGCAGAGTAAACTTGCATTGGTCTATCATATGCCTCATCAATGGAATTTTAGAAATTGGTTGTTAAAAGGACAAGTGGATATATGTATACATACGTGGCTTATCGTATTTTTTCAAATATAACGAATTAATGGATTTCTATGTATAAGTAGTATCATTCTTGAAATTATTAAAACATTCACAGTCGAAATTCCGTGTGAGGTTAGGTATTGACAGTGTTTTCGAAAAAGTAAATAATTACCTGTTCAGTTTTTATTATAAAATTATAATAGTTGTTGTTAAAGAAATTTGTGCTTTTTATATATGTAAGTATATTGTCACACATTACATTATTATCATGTAATACTTTTTACAGTAATAAAAATGTATTATGTTAGATATTCAGGGTGATTCTCTCACAAAGGCTTCAAAAGCAGTAGTCGCCACCGTTTGATGATAAATTTCAATTTTATAAAATGAATAGTTCAGCAGATCCCAGACGTCCAGAACGAGAACTTCGTTACAAACCCAGCGCATCGAGCAGCCAGGCTCAACCAGGCGACTATTCAACACCAGACTATATGAACATATTAGGAATGATTTTCAGCATGTGTGGATTGATGATGAGATTAAAGTGGTGCGCATGGGTTGCACTATATTGTTCTTGTATTAGTTTTGCTAATTCTAAAGTAAGCGATGATACTAAGCAAATTCTTAGTAGTTTTATGTTGTCCATATCTGCAGTTGTAATGTCGTACTTACAAAATCCGCAGCCTATGACACCGCCATGGGCATCAGCAATGCAATAAAGACATTTTCAAATTTCTGTGATATTCAATGTCTATTGATAATTTAATACAGTAGTTCTCAATTATTTCTCCCTGTGTACCACCTAAGCAATATATATTTTGTAGACAGTGTTTATTTGAACACATTTACATAGAAACATGTCTTACTAAAAAAGTTTCCCTTTGTTCTTTCCTCTTCACCTTCATTCCAAATCTCTTTTCCATTCTGCTGTAAACCTTATGGTAAGTCTAATAAGAGAAAGTAGTCCTAAAATGTTGGTTTATAGGAAAAAAAGGATCAATAATAAAAATTAAGATTTAGTTAAGTTCATTTATTAAAAATGAAAGTTATAATAAAAATCAAATTATAAAATTTAACGAGAAAGTTTTATAAGGTTCAGCTTACAATTGTGCAACATCACGATACAGTGAAAAAGACAATAGTTACGTAATCATTAATTTAACGTCGATGGAATCGAAAATTTCTGTCATAGAAACTGATACTTTTAAATTTATTTACTCTACTAACATTTATTGCGTGCATATTAAATATATAATTTTGTTGACATAATTCCGTTTAGTTCATGTACCACCTGGGAATATTCTGCATACCATAGGTTGAGAACCGTTGATCAATTGCACCTTTTATAACATTTATTCTGTATTACTGAAACAATAATGATGTATATCGAATTATTTAATGGCAAAGTATTACTGTTAATACGATTTTTGTAAAGTATTTTGTACAAAAATCATCATCATCAATAGGGTCAAAGAAGTAAAAAAATTAACTTCAAATTGAATTCATCTTTTTTATTCCTTAAAAATTATTGTTCTTTATTACATTAAATGAACTTTTCTGCTATGTATCACTTTTGTCTAATTATATTCTACAAATATCACTTACAATAAGTCCATTATTATATTTCCTAAATGCATATTATATTTACTAGAGTTAAATGGATCAGGTATATTCTTTCTACTTTTTACATAAATACAGTGATTCTAAAGTTCCAACTAGTTAAGAGACCGTCAATAAAAATCATGCTTTGTCGTTCGTTTTTTATTATGCAATTGTCTTCCTTCAATGACTACATATTTTACACTTTATGTATAATTTACGTTTTCAGTCCCATTTTTGCATTTATTACAGAATTAGTAAAAGAAGTAATGCTAATTATCTTTAGGGATAAAAAACAATTGTAATTATTAAGTAAAAAATTAATGTCAAATAACATGGCAAAATTATACTCGGATAATTACAAAGGGTAGATTGCAATAAGGCTAGTGTTTATTTTGTATTCTTGCTGATTCTGTTAAAAAACTGTACAAAATGTATCATTCAAAATTTTTGTATTAAATGATATCTATGCAGAGTAGGCCAGTGCAACTTCCGTGCAATGTTCATACGTTTTCATCGCGCTACAACATTCGATAATTACAGACGAGAGGTCTAATAAAAAAATTGTAGCATTTTCAAATAGCAAGGCATCTTAATTTGCATTAACTATCGTCCGTATGGTAAGTTACCTTTTTCTTGCTAATTTCCTATTCACCGTTATGTTCTTAGTTTACACGCGTTCGAGTCTCTACAGACTTTATTATTATCTTTCGGTTGGCTGAAAATTTGTTTGAATCAGAAAATACTTTGTTCCGTCGAAGAAATTACCGTACAAAGACAGAAAAGAGATCTATGATAAAACTAGAACATTATTCGAGTTTAACTATCTACACCTGATGCGAGGAGGAATTTCACACGATCCTTTTACCTTTTATGCTTAACGTTCGTCTAACCTTAAATTATGGATTTATCGAGTGTGCATAGACTTCAGCGAAAGATCATATAAAAAGAGGCTACAATACGTGGCCCCTTAATTTTAGAATATCTCGAAAGTACATCCACTCCAGAATTTGCGAAAACGATTCTGATGAACAATCACACGAAAATGTGATATTGGCACAGATATCTAACAGTTATTTTACATCTATCCTGTCTCCCTTCTTTCATGGTCCCCGGTCGGTCTAACTTCTCCCAATTAAACGCTACTTTCGCCTCGACCAACCAGCGTGATTGGATATACATATTTTTTTCGTTTCGCGCTGAAGAAGGGCGAACTGTGTTGCCCGTGCGTGGGTGTCGGCGAGAGTCCACGCAAAAGGGGCAACGAAGCATCGCCGCTCATCCCCGTCGCGTCGAATTTTTTCTTCCATTCTGCTCCTAAATCTGTCGCTGGTGCCATAAGGCCTTTACATTCCGGGGAACTTCGTACGCTGAGGAACACGTCGTTACTGCTGTCCCGTTGTCCAGATGAACCCTGAAACGGTAATCAATTTTTACATTACGCGACATTACAGTTTCTTAAACAGTTTATTAATATTTGCTTCTAGATCTTATATCATTTTCAGGGCAATAAAATGTTTAAGTGGTTTTCAAAATTTCTAGAAGTTTCTATACATTCCCTTAAACAAAGAAAAGAAAATTTCTGTACTGTAGATAAAGGATGTTCTGAGGAAAATTTTAATGGGAGATTCTAGAGGCCAAAATAAGACAAAAGTTAAGAATACCAATTTGTTAATTGAGGCTTCGTTAAAAAGATATTAATGTTTAAAGTTCCGTCTGTAGAACGGCAATCTGCGAACAGCTGCGTGCGCGAGATAGTGGTTCTACAGACGGGACTTTAAACGTTAATAATTTTTTAACGAAGCCTCGATCAACAAATTGGTATTCTCGATTTTCGTCTTATTTTGGCCTCTAGAATCCCCTATTAAAAGGGCCCCACACAGATATTATGGAAAATAGCCCCCGGTTAAATTAGCTGAACTTTTGATATGATGTAGTTCTTGATGAAAAGTTCCAATGGGCCCAAGCTCGTAAATTGAACAGTTTCCGAGCTACGGGGGATCAAAGACAATAATAGTGCGCCTTATTCTAGACTACCACGTTTGAGCATATTTGAGTGTAAGCACTGTTGTGACCCTGTAGGCCCTTAAATATTACCCCATTGGCTGCCTAACCCTCTGACTCCCCTTCAGGAGTCAAAATAAAAAAACGCCAAAAGGGTAAAAAATGGTTCTTTTTTTCATTGTACATTAGTATTAACCAGTCTACACCACGAGGAGGTTGCTCAATTGAATTCTGCACACCATGTGACCCTGAAAAGGTCCGTTTTTATAGTTCTCTCTATTTGTCCATAATAATCTCAACATTCATATTATCTTGATGCCCTCTATTAGTGCAAATTGACACTTCGTTGGTAGATAACAGCCTTAGAAGACTAAAAGTTTATTCACGATTTCGGAATAGTAATAAATGGTTACTACTGCATCTGTCAATCCGGTACCAAAACATTGGGCACATGCGCACATATTGCAAGTGTTTTAAGGTTTTTAGGATTTGCTCGTCATCAAAGGCATGACAAATATTCGGATAGCAATCTTCTAAATACGACCAGAGATACCGCTAATAGAAACCATCAAGACAGTATGAATGTTGAGATACTTATGGTCGAATAGAGACAACTATAAAAACGGCCCGATCGAGCAACCTCCTCGTGGTGCACACTGGGTAATGCTAATGTCGACGGTGCTTCATGTTTGTACAATGAAAAAGAGAACCATTTTTTACCTTTTTGGCGGTTTTTTATTTTGACTCCTAAATGGGAGTCAGAGAGTCAGGGGGTCAAGGGGTAATATTTAAGGGCCCACAGTACAACTACTGAGTTTTAAGGGGTCAAATAAATGGACAGTGTACAACAGTGCTTCTTACACTCAAATATGTTCAAACGTGGTAGTCTAGAATAAGGCGCACTATTATTGACTTTTGATCCCCCGTATCTCGGAAACTGTTCAATTTACGAGCTTGGGCCCATTGGAACTTTTCATCAAGACATCATGAGCTATATCATATCAAAAGTTCAGCTAATTTAACCGGGGGCCATTTTCCATAAGATGTGTGCGGGGTCCTTTTTTTCTAGAGGTGACGAACACCCTAGATGTAAAATGATACGAAAAAAATATAGTCCAACAATTGTAAATCTTTGGTGATCAGTGTATCAGTATAAAGAACATTCTTTTGCGTCCCTCTTGAACTGTGAGACGATTACCATTTTGGAAAACACTGGTTTAAGCAGTTAAAGCTAGAGACTCATACTTGTGAAATTGTTTACAATGGAAGAACCCCAAGACTTGTGAAATTGTAAGTAATATCGTTAGGAATATTTTAAAAGAAAAAGCAGTGTACTGTTAAACTACAGAATATGTAAATTGAATAAATAATAGAAACATTGAAAACTGATGTTGCAGTCAATGTGTCAAAACTGTATAATTTGGTAATACGTTTAGGGAATATTGCAAAATTGGTAGAATGTGTAATATTTGATGAATAATGTTGCACCTTTGCCTCGTAAAAGTCTAAACTGGAACCGTTCGTCTCGTGTTCCTCCTCGGCGTAGGCCGGTTGGACCTGGTTCGACACGTGAGATGCTCCAGAGGAATGGGAAGATGTGTGCGACGAAGAATTCTCTGACAAATCGTCTCTGCAGCAGGCAGCCGTACATACTCTCTGTTCTCTGCAATATTCCAGGAAATTTGTGTTTGTTATTTTACATCCTAAATAAAGTAGTGCAGAACCAACCAGGTCTTTCAAGGCAACTTCCTCGATTCAGCTCATAACTCCAAATCAATAGTTGGCAACCTTTCTGACCCTGTGCCAGATTTGAGAAGCAGTATCTTTTTACGACGTTTGTCGGTCAGTGGTATTTCTTAAAGCATTAGTGAACTTGAAATTTATAAAGTAAGAACCTCGACAAAATAACACATTAATTAGTATAGCCATGTGTTACTTAAAAATATTAGGCACATACTTCTTTTAAGCGGTGGTAATTTAAGTTTTTGTGGTGAAACTTTCAAAGTTGGGGCGTGGAAATCTATTTGATCGAATAATTCGAAAACGACTAAAGTTAAGAAAAGAAATTATTCTTATATATTATATTATTAACAGGAGAAGAAAATAATGTATGAAAAGTAACGAAATAATCCCTTGCAAATTGAAGTCTTCACGTTACAAGTTATGTTTCGACATCTTAAAATATCAAAACAAACATTTGTGTAATGAAATAGAAGTAGAGGACAAGAAACTTAACGATACGGAAATGTTTTTTTGATTAGAATTGTTTCATTGTATCCAGCACGTTCAAATAGGATAATAAAACAAACACACCGAAGGCAAGTAATGTCTCTGTACTTTCACAAGATGCGCAGTAAAAAGAATATTGTTTCGTAAATTGCAGTGCCCTAGTTTCCTTAAATCTTTTGTCTAAGTAAAGACTCGTTAATCTGACAAAATACAGAAAAATGTCAGTTTACTGCTTAAATGCTTGTAATAATAGGCCACTAGTGCTGCATGGGCTCGCCCTTATAATGAGGTGATTATTCTTAGGTAGAGATTATATGTATACCGCAATAATGGCGTTGGACTGGTACCATCCAAGAAGCAATTAAATACCGGATACAAGCGAATATAGCGCAGTGCTTTGTAAACTTATTTCTCAAACTCTGCAAAGTCAAAGACTGTAGTCATTTTCGAGTTATTTTACTAAATAGGTTTTCAAGCCCTAACTTTGAAAGGTAGTTTTACCTTCCAAACATGAATTTCCGTCGCTAAATAAAAATATGTGTACAATATTTTTAATTATTCTATTTGTATGCAAAGTTTCGTCAAAATTTGCGTAAATAGGATAAAATAAGAATGATTGAAAATAGTCAATCAAAAGTTATAAGGCAATATAATAAGAATATCAGAGGTTGTATATTATACAGGGTGTTCGGCCGCCGCTGGGAAAAATTTTAATGATTCTACGGGCCAAAATAAGACGAAAATCAAGAATACCAATTTGTTGATTGAGGCTTCGTTAAAAAGTTATTCACAAAATTATTAATAAAATTTGTCCACCTACACGAATTTTTTTCTCACAAATTCGTAGGATTTTGGGGGTACATCTATTTATCAAAAATAATTGTAATTGAACCCCGCAACTAAAAATAATTTTTCGAAGACGATTCGAAATTTTTTTGTTCATCCAACACTTTCAGCATTTTTTACTCGAATTTTTTCCTCGAAACTGCTCAGGATTTTAGGGGTATGTTTATTGACCAAAAATGCTTGTAATTGACCCCTGCAACTGAAAATATTTTTTCCAGAACGATTTGAAATTGATTAATTTCATCGAAAAATTTTACACCTTCTCGAATTTATTTCTGGAAAATGTGTAGGATTTCTTGGGTATGTGAATTCACCAAAAATGCTTGTAATTGACTCTCGAAACCGAAAATAATTTTTTTAGAATGATTTAAAATTTTTTGATTTGCCAAAAAATTTCAGCAGCTACCCCCTGTCGATTTTTCTTAAAAATTTGTTTTTTATTTTTTCTACAGAAAAGTTGTTTAATACTTTTTTGTAGGTATCCATGAGCTCCACTTCAGAAAAAAGTTTCATTTAAGTATATTCACTATTACAGGAGTTATCCTCGTTTGAAAATTGGACCTTTTTTACGGGGTTTTTCACATTTTTCGGGGTTAAGGATCAACTTTTCGAATATTTTTACGATTTCTATATATTCTTCCTCTAAATACGCGTTGTTTGCCGTTTGAAACATTACAATCGTCCAATTCTTTCAGGAGTTTTGACATTTTAAAGATTCGCATGAAATTTTGAGGGTACATTTTTGGCCTCACATTAGATTCTCAGTTAGGAATTTCTTTCTCGAAAGTGTGTAGGATTTCAGGGGTATGTGTAATGACCAAAAATGATTGTAATCGACCTCTGCAACCGAAAATAATTTTTTCAGAATGATTTGAAATTTTTTAATTTAATTCTTTAATAACTTTTTAACGAAGCCTCAGTCAAGAAATTGTTATTCTTGATTTTCGTCTTATTTTGGCCTCTAGAATCACACATTAGAATTTGTCCCAGGGGTGGCCGAACACCCTGTATACAAGCAGAGGTTGGATACTTTTGAGACTTCGTATAGTCCGGGCCATGATATAGCGAGCTCGTAAAATCAAGTAGGCGTCTAAGTAAAGATGTTTCAGCTACCGTGAGAAGCGAATTGATAGAAATACGAACAGATAAGGACCTTAGACCATGATCAAGGCCGTACAAAGAAATGTTTTATCCAGTGTCGTTATTTTTAGAAAGCCATTTTTAGAGGTTCCGTTAGAGGTAAAGGTTACTCAAGTGTTTAATATCTTAATTTATCCGCTCATAATTTATGCATGTAGAAAATGAAAAAAGGTAGTACAGTTACGGATACAGAAGGACATTCAGAAAGGCATCCTTAAGCAAGATGTCATATATGGCCCTAAGTGCCGCAGTAGCAGTCGGTGCTGATTCTCAACAGTTTCGTTTACGACCTCGCTAAATCGTGGCCCGGACTATACAAGTGGGATCGAATACCTTCTGACGATAACCGAGTCTCGTCTTCTCGGTACTGGCGGCGGAAGACCAGCGGTTAAGCTCTTGGCACTCTCGTAGCTCGCCTCGCTATTGCCACTGCTCGTGTTACTGCCGTTGTTCCCCTCCCTCAGGAAGTAGTTCTTCGCCGAGAGCATAGCGAAGTGAAGGTTGTTCTTCAAGTCGTCCGCCGCCGTTGACAAGTTTCCCGAAATCTTTGGGGTTCGCCTCATCGGTCTCGGTGGTGGTACCGGCGATGGTGGGCTGCTCGACGCCTCCGACAGCGTTTCCGGCGTCGCGAGCGGCGCCGTCCGCGAGGCATCGTCCCAGTCGGTCCGTCGATTCGACCTTGGTACGAAAACACGCGTGAAATGTGGTTGTTGCATCCGGCAGGGAAAACTGCAGCCGAAGAGCAACAGACTACGATATCGCAAATAGCAACGCGAACGCAACGACATTGTTCACAGAACGAAGCAAAGCGTTCCTCTCAAACTGCAATCCTCTTAGACAGAAATGTTAAGGATTTCTCGTATTCGATGGCCTTACAAAGTGCAAATGATCATCAACGTGCGCGATACTGTTAAAGCGGTGAGAACTGCGAGTCGTGAAGTAAGCGATTGTGAACGAGAGCGTGACATGAGGTTCTTCCAACTGATTCGAACGATTCGTCGATTTTTGGCGAGTGATTTCAATAGAAGAACGAAGTATGATATAACATCTTAAAACAGCCCACACACGCGGAGGATCGACGGACGTTCGACCGTGGATTCGACAGACTGTGGAAAAGATAGTCGAACAAATCCGTAGTTAAACCTTCCGCGAAACTCGACCGTGTATGGGTCGTTTAATACATCGTGTCTTTAATTTTCTTTAACAACCCAATGACACTTTACCAGCGTCAATTTTATAGAACATCCAAATCTCCATCTCTGATACGAGTAATCCGAAAGATTGCAACTCGTCGAACTCCCTTCGTGTACCTAACACCTTATTGAGAAAACTAATCCTAGGTATCTTCGGCGCCAGGCCACCGTTTGGGACCGCGCACGGTTCGTCGTCCAGACGTACAAGTAGTGCTATTCTTACAATTTGCATTCGTCGGTCCTAGGTGTGTTGAGCAATTCGCTGGCCAGGCTGACGTACTCCCACGGTATCCCTCTGGAGTCGACGCTGAGCTCCCGGCCAGCCTGAGGGAACTCCGACGGACTCTGCAAGGACGTGAAGCTAGTCTCCAGACAGAGTCTGTGCGGCGGTGTACCAGCCAGGTTGCTGGGATGCGATTTTACGGGGCTGGACGACGACAGCAACGCTCTCATTTCCTGTTCGATCTCCATCTCCTGGATCTCGACGGCCTCGCGCGCCTCTGACGCCTCCGTGGACGACGCGTGACCGGAAGCCAGCCTCTGCGGCTTCGCCGGTCCCAGGGTCGTTACAACCTGACATATCCACACGCGTTTTGCCATGTAATCGTTTCACCGACCCTCCGATATTAGTTCCACATTACTTCGTATCGTTAACAATTAAAGGAGACGGGGTCACATCGTGTTCTCAGAAACGAAGAAGTGGCTTTAACCCTAGAAAGACTGAGCCACAAGCTTTCCTATTAACTTCTTGCGACAAGGAGGGTAACAATTTACGCAAGATTCATTCAAGCTCATTATTCTTGCTAACCACTGTCTTTTTTTCAGAATTATTTTTTTACTCTATTTGTAACATTTATTTAAAACATCTCGAAGTTATTCGAACTTTTGTGCCACAAAGAGTTAGAGACAATGGTGGAGGCTCTTCGAGTTCACCTACGTTGTCCGTAACTACTTTTTGGAAAACGACCATCAAAAACAGGTATTTAAAGAGAATAGAAAAGAAGCAATATTAACGAAAAGAATATACCATTTTTGTAGTAAATACTTTACTTTACGAATAATTTGTAATTATACAGAATGTGATGGAATTCGTTGTACTGGACAATCGAAAAGGGGGTGATTTTTCATTGAAAAGTAAACAGAAAATTTGATATATAAAGTTGTAGATTAAAACTTGCTTGTCATGATTGTTTCTGTTGATGTTGATATTTACAAACATTGATCACGATATGGTTCAAATAATAGAACAGATTTATCCACGTTATATTTTTTTCTTTATTGGCTTACAAATACCGTTGGAAATGTCTTCCCGTTTTTAAATATAAAGTTCTGCACGACGAACTAAAGAATTTCAACGACTTACAAACGCGTTTTCATGTTTTAATTTTTGCAAATTTTTGTATAACTTTTTGTTTTAATTGAGGAAGGTTTTCAATTTCTTCTTTGTACACTCTCTCCTTAATTTGATCCCACAAATAAAAGTTAAGTGGTGTAATGTCTGGGTTAGACTGTTGTAAACACCATTGCAGACAGAAACAATCAATAACAAAATGAGATTGGAAGCAAATTCTATTCTATTTTTTTATACGAAGTTCTGAACGAAAAAATTTTGTACTAAATTTTTTGTTTCCTTTTCGGTTGTACCACGAATTCTGCCGCACCCTGTATAGAATAAATTCAGCAAAGATAATACTGTATATAACACAAACTTCATTGTAATTAATTATTTTTAATCTAATTATCACAAACGGTTAAACTACTTGATTACTTCTTACAGACTAGCTTTTTGAAGTTAGCATTAAATTGCTTTGCCTTCTTCTTCTAGTTGGTTACTTACCTTTAATCAGATTTATTTTAGCTTCTTTCCCATTACATCGATTTAGTTTTTAATTAATTTATTGACTAACTCAGATAAAAAGAAGCATCGTGTTTACTTGTGAGAAATATTTCAATGAACTATTATAAATAAATAAACAGAAGCCATTTACAACTATAGACTCTATTTTATCACTTTTTTTTTTAATAATATTCTTACTAAATCAAAACTGATTCTTAAAAATGTAAACAACAATAAATAACATTTTACTCGAGTGAAATAGCATATTTTCAAGATTTTTTTACTGTTAGGCTCGAGGAGCTCTCGCCTTAGTCTTTCTAGGGTTAATCGAACGATGAACGCGTGCGATGGTTTGGATAAAATTTTTAGAATGTCGATTTATGAATTAATGAAAATTGAATCGAATGATAAGGGTTATAAGTAGGGATTCGTACTATCGATTTAACCAGTTTTATCAAGTAACTCAAATATTCGATTAAGCGGTTAGTAATTAATTATTAGTGACTGTTATTGTTAATTGAACACGCATACAATAATTATATCCATTATGCCCACATAAATAATTTATGGTACAGTGAGATTAGGAATGTAGAAACAGCGTAATTAGAGAGTGAAATCGATAACTCGTTATTCGCCATACCATGTATGTATATGTATGAGTATACAAAACTATTTGCTTAACAATAAATTGAACACGATTTTAAATAGTAAAGATTCACAGGTATTGGTCGAAAACGGTGACGATGATCGGTGACAGCCAATCAGTGGACTGCACAGCAAGAGTGGGGATGTAAACACACTGTGCCTTCTTCTCGTGGAAGGACGATACCTGCACTTAATTTTAGGCAATCCATATATCTAGCTATTAATTGATTACTCGACAATGGACTTAAACTCGCAATGAACATTCACAAAGTGACCCCCAGTTTTGATGAAACTGCAGATTTATGGAACAATTAGAAATAAGAGATACATGTCCTTTTTCAACTGTAGTAATTCAAAATGAGGTAAAACTGCTCTCAAACATTTCAGTTCTCTGTTGTTAATCTTGAAAGTTATTGCATATACAAAAAAGTCTTTTAAATAAATTTTGTTTTGTAACAAATAACATATTATTCGCATTTGTAAAAAAGTATGAATAAGGAAGTCAAGGAGATTTCTAAAATTACAATAACAGTTAAAAATAAAGATGCAGCTAATTGGGAATTCAAAATAAAAGTAGGTCACTATATCTTCCAAAAATGTTCATCACTTTTTTGAATCTATAGACTATTTTCTATAAAAGACCATCAAAAAGTAGTTCTTAAAGTTGTATTAGGGGATGAAACTTTGGAGGATCGCTTTTTAATTAAAATTTTAAAAAATTTAAATTGCCTACTCCTACAATTTGCAAAGTTTTATCAAAATCGAGGGGAAAAGGATACTTGCGGATACTTCTTGTCAATTTACATTGGTTCCACTTAACCGAATAATCGAATATCTAGTCAATTTTACTAATACAAACGTTTAGGATTTTGGGATTCGTATTTTTCGATTGTTCATTGTATGCATAGGAGAAAATTGTCTAATGTGTATCGGTTGTCTAAATCGTACCTCTTCGATTTCTTTATTATTGCTGAATATAGACACAATGATCGAGTAATAAAAAGTATACACTTATCTAAGTGCTAGAAACGTTTTAAACATTCTGATACGACTGACACGATTGCTTATCATACTTGTGTAGCTTATAAAAATGAAACGATCTATTTTATTCTGCACGAGTTGGGCAAGTTTTATTCACGAATAAAGAATACAAACTTTAGATTCATTCGTATACTGGCCTTTGTCTGCGATTAATTAAACGCAAATGGACGTTAGTTTACAAATTAATCTGAATTTTTTAATACGTGGTTCTTATTAAGAATTCATATTCTGTTTATTTATTGAAAAAATATTTATTCTTCTCATTAACCGTATTTTTTATTATTCTCATCTACAAATTTACTGCATTTAGAGGAGGTACGATTTAAGAAAACAATTGCAAAAGATCAAATAAAGAATTAATTTGGTTTTGGTAAAGGTTTAATACGTAGCAAGGTGCTTAAAAAATCAAGCTACATTCAATATTAATTTCCCTACAATTTAACATCAAACATGGTATTATAAGATAAAATATACAGGGTGTTCGGCTACCCCTGGTAAAAATTTTAATGGGAGATTCTAGAGGCCAAAATAAGGCGAAAATCAAGAATACCAATTTGTTGTTGGAGTAAGCAAAAATGCGCAAGATTTCGGGGGAATGTCTATTCACCAAAAATGATTGTAATTGACCCCTGCAATTAAATATAATTTTTTTAGTATGATTTGAAATTTTTTAATTTTGGTGAAGAATTTCATATCTTCTCGAATTTTTTTCTCGAAAATGAATAGGATTTCGGAGGTATGTGTATTCACCAAAAATGATTGTAATTGACCCCTGCAACCGAAAATAATTTTTCCAGGACGATTTGAAATTTTTGAATTTAATTGTTAATAACTTTTTAACGAAGCCTCCATCAACAAATTGGTATTCTTGATTTTCGTCTTATTTTGGCCTCTAGAATATTTTATTAAAATTTTTCATAGGGGTAGTCGAACACCCTGTTATATTTATCTGTAAAATTTTGGCAAATTTCCCCTAAGCAGCATTGATGTTTTGAAATTCAGATTTTTAGATTCAGGTCTCGTTGACTGAATATTTCAGGCCACGTATGCTTCAGGAATTCCGTTGATAGAGATATTGATAATATATGAAACGTGGTATGCATATGAAAACTTTTATGTATTCGTTAATTGGATCGATGAAACGTGAGTGTCGATTCGAAGATTTCTTCACGGAAGAATAACTTTGTCTGCTGAAATATTTACGGTTCCATAAATTGCGCACGATTTACCAGTCGCGGAGCTTATAACTCGCGTTCTGTACGTTTTTCTGAAGCAATTTCAATAAAAGGCAGACAAGAAGTAGCGATACGTGGCACGAATACGTCTTTCTTCGGTGATCGTACAAGTTTCGCGAGCTACGCGAACCAAATGAACACAAATTTCTCTGAGCTTCGTTAGTTCGGAAATTCTAAGCAAACATCCGTCGAATATTTAATGTAGATAATGAAGCCACGCGATACAGCTCGGCTTAATGCCAAGAGAATGTTGGAAAACTCCCCTCGCGCGTATTATACAGGGTGTTCACGCTAAAGTGTGACAGTTGCGATATTTCAATAGCTATTGATGATACGAAAAAATTGTTTATATGTAAATTGCAGGATAAAATAGGATTTCTATTTTGGCGTAAACGAAAATTTTGTTTATGTTATTAATTTAAAAGATATGATGATGAAGTTTCGTTTTTTAAATGGAACTATATATTTTTTTCTGAATCATGCGATAGTACTTTTCAAGACGAATTCATTAAGGTACAATTTATTCACCCGATTTTTATTAGTTTTCAAGATATAACACTTAGAAATTAACTGATTTTCAGCGGAGACGTCTCGACTTGAGTGGTATAGTCCGGACCACAATATAGCGAGGTCGTAAACTAAACTCTTGAGGGTCGGGACCGACTGCTGTTGCGGTACTTAGGGCCGTATATCACATCTTGCTTGAGGGTGTCTTTCTGAATGTCTTTTTGTGTCCATAACTGCATTACCTTTTTTCATTTTCTACATGCATATGTTATAAGCAGGTAAATTAAGATATTAAAAACTTGAATAAG